TTACACCAAAAAACAAGGCGGGAACCGCGTTCCCTATCGATAATTTCCAGTATAACCAATATTGTTTTTTTTTTATCCCACTTGTGATTTTGGAGAATAAAAATGCATGTGGATATTTCAAGGCCACTAGAGGATTGAGGCAAGAAGATCCGAGGATTGAGACAAGAAGATCCTTTATCGGGAAAGTCCTTCAGGGGCCGTTTGGATACCTGGAAATATATTGTCTGTGAAATATATTACTGATGTAATACATTACCACATAATACATTACCTGTAAATAGATTGTTACTGTTTGGGTAGTATTTAAATGTAACCTGAGAAATACATTGTTATTGTTTAGCTATGTCTAGAAGAAATATAGGAAATGCATTACCAACATTTTACCAGCACGTGCTTATAAACTATCATTTCTTTCTTTTTTGTCGCAAAATTCTACTAAAATGCATAATTATCATTTCCTTCTTGTTTGTCACAAAATTCCACTAAAATAATGACTTAAAATCATCATCACACCATTCCAAAAATATTTCTAATAATAACATTATCACCATTCCAAAAAGATTTTCTAATAATAAATTGTACCATTTTACTGTCATGACACTATTTCCTACTTATTTTAAGTGCCTTTGGCACTTATATACAATCACATGTTTTCTAACATGACATTGGTTTCAACATGATAAGTCATTGGAACAATATGATTGGAATAACATGATTTTATTATGATAAATCTTATTTTTATTTATTTTATGCAGAAGTCTTTCAAATGTCTCTTTGTATAATTTCAAATAAACAATAAATTTATGATACTAAATTCAAAATTTATAGGGTACGAGTTAGAAAATGGGAAGAAGTTTGATTAGCAAACTAGAAGGTTTGGTAATTGCAGTATAAAATTTTGAGGTATCGGAGAAGACTAAAAATTTTGACGTATTGGAGAAGACTAAATAGGTATGTTATTTGAATTGAGATTTTAGTAATTTCTTATGAAGATTATGTTGCGTGAAATTTTTTATTATGATTGTGTTGTGTAATTTATCATTGATTACTGATTTTTATTTTTATATGACACAGATGCCTTCAGATGAGGGGACGAGCTTAAAAAGGGAGGGATCACATTATGTTGTGTGAAATTTTTTATTATGATTGTGTTATGTAATTTATCATTGATTATTGATTTTTATTTTTATTATTTTTGTTTTTAGATACAAGGGATGAGCTCAAAAAGGGAGGGATCACTTAGGCTTAGAAGATTTTTTTAATCAGCCATAGCAAAAACGCATGCAAAAGATCTCTCAAAATTACCTATCACTCTTGTAATAGATTTTTCATCTATCACTGCGTGTAATGAATTTTTTGATTTTTAGGTTTTTTACGTTTAAGTGTACCCAAACAGTGAAAATACCACATTTCCTTGCAATCTATTGTCACATAATAGATTTTCAGGTACCGGCCCCTCAGTCACTAAGTTTAAACAATACCATCTATACACGTTCGCGGGGGAATCCCTCAGTCAAATTGGAGTAGTAGAAGCCAGACTATTATAAGGACTACCCACGTTTGACTGAGGTTTGAAGTCCTAGCATTTATAGTATGCTCAAGAAAGATATTCAGAACATCCAGATATTCCTCAATGTTATGAGCTAGTTTATGGGGCGAAGAAAGATATTCAGAACATCCAGCTATTCCGCATGTTATGAGCTAGTTTATGGGGCGAAGATCAACATGGGGACAATGAAGATCATGGGGATAAACGGCGTAGAAGAAGAACTTAGGAGTTGGTATGAGAGATCAAATTGTAGTGTTGATCATATCCCTACTAGGTATTTGCGCATTCCTCATATTGATGGTGGACTATCTCAGCATAAGATCTCATTGTTTAGCCATTCCAATACAAACGGGATAGATGGAAGAGTAGATATTTGTCTTGGTAGGTAGAGTCGCGCTCATCAATGCTACTGTTTCTAATATGGATACGGTTTCTATGCGGCCAAGCTTGTATACGTAGAAATACGGGCCTCTTAATAAATCTATTTTTGAGATGGATTTTTTAACTTAACTTTTGAGGACATGTAGACATGGAAGTCATGAATATGATAAATAAATAAATTTTAGAAACTAGAAATAATAATTCTAGTGAGAAAACATTTGGACTGTTAGTTTCTATTGTTTTTAGATGGAACACCTCCTTGTCTTTAAGATGGATACTTTACACTTTCTAGACCGCATATGTAGAAACACGGTGCCCTTGAATCAGCCCTTGAAGTGCCCTCCCGACCTGAGCCTGACTTGAAGCTCAGGTCGGGTCGGTACTTAGAGTGTCGACCTGTACTCTAGATTTGCCTTATGGATCCAGATTGCCTGTCGATCGTATTTTGAGTTTGCCATATGGCTCCAGAGTACAGGTTAGTGCTTTAGCATTCCAAGTGCTAACTCAATCCGAACCTCGGATTGACGTTGCACACTAGGTTTACTACGATGATCCAAAGTGTAGGTTGGCACTCCAAGTGTAGACATGACCTTGAAGTTCAATGTCGACCCGAAGTAATTTTTCGGTATAATTTAAAGGGAAATTATCACAAATATACTTTAATTTTCGTTTATTTGGAAAAAACGTTTAATTTTCATAAACCTTGCCCACACCCTTTTTTTTCAATTTTGGCCCTTTTTTTATTTTTTTGACCAAATATTACCGTAAAAACTGGCATTTTAAGTACCGTAAAAACTAACCCATGTTATACGATACTCAAAAGGCCGTAAACCCTTTTCTATCATTTATATTTATCTCTTTCATCTCTCTTTATTTTTTTTTATGTTTATCTCTTCTTTCTCTCTCTAATTTTTTTTAATATTTATTTCTTCTTTCTCTCTAATTTTTTATCTCTACTTTCTCTCTCTAAATCTTTTCTCTCTCCAAGGAGATTTGTATAACAACCTGCTCTAACTTACCACCCCCTATAAAAAATCTTCAACCCCATCTCCTATGAAAATTAGATGGAGTTAGATTTGTATCGTGTTGGAATCATGTTTGTTGAGTTGATAAAGTAAGTAGAGAGAGAAAGATAGTTAGTGAGAGAAAGAAGAGATATATATTAAAAAAATAGAGAGAGAAAGAAAAGATAAACATAAAATTTTTTTAGAGAGATGACAGCGATAAATATGAACGGGAGAAAATGGTTTAAGGCATTTTGAGTGTCGTATAACATGGATTAGTTTTTACGGTACTTAAAATGTCGTATAACATGGATTAGTTTTTACGGTACTTAAAATGCCGTATAACATGGATTAGTTTTTATGGAACATAAGATGCCGTATAATATGGATTAGTTTTTATGGTAATTAAAGTACCGTAATTGGCTTCACGGTACTATGACTGCCGTGAAGGTTATTTTTGGTAAAAAAAGCTCAAAATTGAAGGAAAAAAGTGTGGGTGAAGTTTATGAAAGTTGAGAGTGTTTTTTCTAAATAGACAAAAATTAAGGTATATTTGTGACAATTTTTCTAATTTAAAACTAAAAAGAAGAAGGATATGAGTGAAAAAAGTAAAAAATACGAAACAGATTTTAAAGGAAAAAAATTATATAAAGTTACGGTCTTATACTATAGAAGTAAGATGCACCTTAAAAATCGAGTAGAAAAGAGTGTTCCGAATTTACAAAACCTTTCAATTGATCATCTTGACATCGGGATGTTTTAATATAAAAAAAATTCAATTTCAAATCTTAAAAATAGTGCATTTTGTAACATGTTATCTGAACCATCTATTTCAAGATTTTCAAGTGTTTTTAGAGTAGCTCTATCCACACCATTTTTTAAATTTTAGATTTTATAATGCGGGTTGAACATGGATTTTCAAGCCATTGTAAGATTTATGACTCCAAAACTATATCTTTTGGCAAAATTTAGAGGTCTGCCTTACTTGTATAGTATAAGGTAGACACTTTATACAAAACAGATCGATGACGTGGACTGAAACAGATCGATGATGTGGACTGCCCCTCTGGATTTCCAATCCAGTTTGGCGGATCGGCAATCTGATATACTGAATCGAAAATTTAAAAATTTAAAAACATTAAGTACAGCCGGTTTTGTCCAGTTCACTTATAGAATCAGATTGAACCAGCCAGTTATGTGATAAATAAATAAATTAAGAAAAAAAGGTGGAACCAATTCGTACCGGTTCACTGACATAACCGACTAGTTCATTGGGGGTATCGACTGATTCCTGATATTTTACAGGATCCAGATCGGCCTGACGGATTCCCGATTTGGATCGGCCGGTTTCAATCCTAATCACCATTTTTTCAAACCCTGCCTAATACAAACTCATGCTATTTTAAATAGAGAAATGATCCTATAGGACCTTCTCCTACCCATGTGTGAGGATCACCATTAAAGTTGGCACAAATCTCTAGAAAAATCAAGTCTCATATCCATGATAATTTTTCTAGAGATCGATACCAACTTTAATGGTGATCCTTTGAAGTCCTACATACATGAGGGGGGTTGATCCTATAGGATCATTACTTTTTTAAATATACCGTAGAATAAAGAGATATTTACCATAATTCCCCATGTCGTAAGATTATGAAAACGGTAACTTTTCTGTTCTCTATAGGATTAGTAATAAAATAGAAAAGGTTTTTACTGCCCCTTTACTATCCACATTGAAACGAACCATGATACCATTCTTCCACTATGCAATTAAAGGCTTCTATGTTGACAAGGCTAATGCCGAAACTTTCTTCATATTGGTTGCGTCATTCTCTGATATCTCATATCCATTGTCTTTTAAGCAAGTGTTTTCTTACCGTCGACTTACTTTAGTGTTGGGTTCACTTTAGCAAATATGCTTATCATTTGTTGCTTCAAGTATGTAAATGATGTGCAAATTTATCCTCATACTTCAGTCCTCAATCTGCCATTTGTTGCTTCAAGTATGTAAATGATGTGCAAATTTATCCTCATACTTCAGTCCTCAATCTGACAAATTAATCAGCAGAATTTGCAATCCCTAAATTACTAGGATATGCATTCACTATTTTCAAGTACTGCCAAATAAAACACATACAAAAGATAGATGTTCTGAATAAATAGTATTTTACTACCTCACTACAGTTCATGAACAAAGAAAACTTTTAATGTAGATCCTGAAATATACAACCTTATTTGCCTCAATCCAAGCTCTTTCTCTCTAAAGCCTGCTTTCTTTCTCTAAAGCCTGTAAATCTTTGCAGTTTTGTTCTGAGTTTCCAGGTCTCGCCTGGGGCCCGCCTCCACTACAAAAGGAATGGTACAATGGGTGGGCCTGGAATGGTCATGATATGCACTCTGCCTTGGTTTCAGTATATGTTTTGCTCCTGCACTGAGCTTGACAGGTCCTGTTCTTGAAGGCTGAAAACAGTTCATTTGGCCTCCAATTCTCAATGCCTTCTCATTCTCCCCAGTAGAAAATCGCTCTAACATCCTATGCTTGCATGAATTCTTTGATCCAGTCAAGGGCTTGGCACCTTCTTCCTGAACTTGAATGGTTTGTTTCTTCATGTGTTTTGAGCGCTCGATATCATTTTCTAATGGCCTCTTCTTGGACTTTTTGGTCTGATCAAAATCCTTAAAATTACTGATAGCATTATTGGTTGTCTCCTTGATTTTAATACTTGTGGCATTAGTTTCAGAAGTGCTCTTGAAGCCTGAACATCCCTGGAATTGTAGCGGGTTGAATTGAGAGTTTTGAGCGAGAGGATAGTGCAGGGAAGAGTGAGAAACATTGGGTTTATGAGTCGGAAAATTAGTATCAGAATATGCAAAGTAAGGAGCAGGGAAGGTGCGGTATCCAAATATTGGAATAGAACAGGGTTGAGAAGTGGAAGAAATGAACGCTGGGTTCTGTTTTGTGGCTTTCATGAGCCATTCAGGCATGGTTGGGGCTGGGTGAGATGGTGTCCAAGTGGGTTGTGTACGATTTTGGGAGTCCTTATTTAAAAAGTGAAACCGTGAACCAGAGATATCTATGTCACTGGGATGGTACTTGTTATGTCCAATTTGTTGGCCACAAGCCTGTTTACTAGGCCTTGAGTGGCTCATTTTATTGGTTTCTTTCTCTAGGATATGACCGTCTGGATATTGAAGAATATGGGGTGCTGATGTTTCAGGAGGGAAAGAATGGGGAAGATAGTTAGACTTCACTCCATCAATAAGGGAACGAGTGTTCAGTGTCACGGGTTGACTGTTGCAATCCAAAAGAGAGGATGCAAATTGAGGGTCTAATGGTTTGACAGGCAAAAACGTGGGTGGGGTGATATTTCTTTGAGGCTCAACAGAAGTGCTCCCATTTTCCAGAAATAACCATTCCTTCGCAGAAGCAGCAGTTCTGGGGTCTAGTTCTAATAACTTGTCTGTCCAAATCATGGGGTCACCAAACCCTATGCCCACTTCATTGCTCCTTCCAATTGCTACATCTTTTCCCATTAGGCGCATGGTAGGTTGTTTTGTGGGCTGAAGACTGTAATCAAATATTTGATCCCTATTCTCTAGCCCTTGATGAATCTGAGGTTGACTGAAAATATTCAAAGAAGCTTGAGCCGGTTCAGAATGACAGCAAAGCTGGTTTTTGCCCATTGTATCAATACACTGTGATTCGGGCCTCCTAATATCATGCAAACTTGATGGCCTGTTAAATGAGGCTTTCCTCAAGCAATTATGATTTTCGAACCATAGGAAAGCCGAATCATGAACTTCCTCCCTCAAGATTGCGTTGTCCATGGCGCCCTCAACGTGGGGAGTGGGACGATAAAATGGAACACCCTTGGCATAATCAATGACCATGGTTTGGTCTGGAAAGAACTGATTAAAGCTGCTTTGGCCATTCACATTTGGTCTGATGAGCTCCCCCTGTGAATTAAGAGGCAAACCAATGAAACCCTCATTAACACATGGATCATTGCTTGAATGCCTTGGGAAATTGCTAGGTAAATGTGAAAATGAGCCTGTTCTTGATGTCCCACAATTCCCATTATTGCAGAATGACTGTTTTTTAAACTGGGACAAGTCCATGTTAGCCATTAAATCTCTGGAAGAAAGAGGGAATATGGATCGGTGATACAAAGAAGCAACTTCAGAACATTTCCTCAGATCTGTTTCAACAGTACATGGCAGTAGATTGGAAATCCTTGGTCGAATTGGCTGTGAACTCAAAGGCAGAGATCTTGCGACTGGGTTACCAACAGATCCAGGAAACTTTTTGGTTATGTGGGTTGAATTACCAGAAGGATTCTCGGCATCAGTCTCAGTATCTATTGTGTTTGAGCTAACTGGGTTGAACAGAAGGGAGCTATCAAGCTGCTGCACAGCCAGGTTTAGATCAACTGGTTCACTTGAACCAGTTTTCCCTGCATCTGTGCTCACTGGAAATTGATTATTTGGTGCCCAATTCTTGTCACTTAAATTATTTTCTCCATCTTCACCTGTATTAATGGATGCAACTTCTCCAACATGCTCAATTTCTTCTCTATTCCCATCATGCAAAGGTGCATTTTCTGATGGACATTTGGCATCAGAACAAGATGGTTGGCCTGATGTTGGACCCCCCACGACCTCTGAAAATAATTTGCAAAGGTTTTGTTCTTGAGCTGATTCAATGGGAAGGCATTGTTTCTTCTTGTACCCTAGAATGTCATCCTTGCCTAAGAACCTGACGTGCTTGCCTGACCTTCGATCACAAGATATCTTTTGCTTTAAAGGGCCTCGCTTTAGACAGCTTTTTGCAGAGGATTTTGGAACAGATGAGCTGACGGTCCGATTCTTGAGATTGCCACTTAAAGGATAGACCTGTGATTTGCTCTGTGGATGCTTTGGTACAGCTTCCTTCTTATGCTTCAACCCATCATGCTTGGCTAGTTTCTTTAACTTTGATAACTTTCTTGTTTTGATATTGGGGCCAGCCACTCCTCCAGACTTTTTTCGGTACAAAGCATCTTGATTGCTTCCAGGAATGTGCATAGAAGGTGGCATTTTGAGCGCATGGAGCTTCTCCTAGTATCAAAGAGAAAGCAAATATAATCATTGATATGAGTAAATCAATCATTGACATCAGTAAATCAATTAAACCTCCTGAGTTTTCCCCTTGTTTAATTGCATAAAGTGGCAGAAAATGAAGAGAATCATGAAATAAATTAATACACCAGTATACTCACACAAGGTGGCAGGAAAAAAACAAAGGCAAAGAATAAACTAAACAAAAAGAAATTGGGGTATTGAGCTCTGTCTTGACCCTCAGGTTACAGGTATTCCCCATCTTTTCTAATTAATCAATAACTCTTATACCTAACTATCACGGATCTTAGCTGTTCGAATTCACTCTTGCTTACATGGTTCAAATTTCCTTCATTCATCCAAGCCTTATCCCAACTATTTTGGATCGGCTACATAGATCATAATCCTCCTTTCTGCTTTTTTAAGGATCATTACCTCTGTTAGACTAGAAGTCACTAGATCTCCTCTTACTACTTCCATCCATATCCTTTGGGCCTCCTCCTTGCCCTCTTAGAGCCTTCCACTTGAACCAGTCTACCCCTCCCAAACGGTGCTGTATGGTTCATATTCAACAGGTGAATTTTTTATGCAAGATCATTACACTCGTATGCATATTTTCGGATTAGCAGATAGCCAGATACACCTGTATGAAGTCTATGGAAAGAACTAGGAGCAATGTAAATCCCTGTTACCTATTATTATATGGCTATAGATGACTGTTAGAGAATTTCAAGAAATAGCAAAACACCCATGCTGATGTCAAGAATTATGCAAGCCTAGAGACAAATAATTGACAATAACCTCATTGGTTGAAGACTCGGTCAAGTCAACTTGGACTCAGCCAAGTAACTCAAGACCCACAGGGTGCTAAGGCGAGTTTTATACAGACTCGGGTTTAGAGATATTATGTTATTTCAAACTTTTATATTTTATTTTAAAATTTTTGGCATGTTTTGGGTTTGTGCAGGACTCCAGTAAGTCCACTAGGACTCGCCCAAGTTACTAGGCTCACGTAGGGGCTGAGTCCCAAGCCCAAGCCAAGTTTTCTTTACATTGAACTAATACATATTACAGAAAGAACTCACATCAAGACACTACTTGATAGACGCTTTTCTTTTTCCAATACATGACTTCGTTCAAGTCAACCAATTTCCAATAGCTAACAAAATATATATCCAAGATTTTATTTTCTAGTTTTATTTTTCTCAGGTAACTCTTCAAGAATGAGGATGACTCTTATAACTATGTTTGATGGCAGGGACAGAAGGAACCTTCAATCACAGGAATGAGAATTGGATTCATGTGAGAATGCATTGTAAACCAGATTACATTCAAAAGCATGAACCTATATCCTCTGGCATTGGTCAGAAACTCCTAGGACTCAGACAATGCTATAAGGAGGATGCTTGTGTCTTAATGACATTCTTAGTCAGAGAAACAGGGCCCCCCTCTATGGTTCAAAAGAAAGGACGCTCAATATGGGGGCCTGTAGCTTATATTAACTTGGTTCATGGAACGTACAGTAGGTTGATCCCCTGAATTTCAACACAGGACCAGATGCTATGATGAATATCTAGCACCGCAAACAATTCCAAGGTTTGCATTAGAGGGTCCAGAGGGGGCGGCAAATGATATTAATAGAGCATTGGGCTAGTGTCAGTCAGATTCAGAGAAACCAAGGGTCACTTCAGTCTCATCTTACCATTGGTACTCTTTATAGGTTTTCCAACGTGTTGGGTTGGCCATATTTTTGCGGTAAATAAATATTGTAAAATAAAAAATTGTGAGAATTCAACAGCAACGGCTGAAAAACTGTAGCTTGTCTGATTACCAGGAAAAGACAATAGTCTGGTCTTTCTCCATAACATTTTGGGCTCACCTAAAGCAACATGAAAATTCCCTTCTCACTTTTGTTGAACTGGTTGATATATTTTCTTTTTCAACTATTGTTTATCACATTTCATTTGTTGCTTAATCTATAGAATCCTGATGTTCTTAATGTTTTTATCTTATTAATTTGGTGCCTCTAAATAAGTTGGAGAGACAAATTTTTAGGAGGTTAGGATTGGAATCCAAAAGGCATGCAGATAACTAAGAGAAAAAAGAAAGCATAAGAGTTGGCCACCCAGATCAGCCTCCATATTTTCTCTAGTTATTTTAAATTTCCATACATTGTTACAGCATCATTTATTAGGCAACCATATTTTCAACTTATGCCACACTGAATTGTAGAGTGGATTGTTTTGTAGAAAACTTGTACTAAAGAAAAAAACAATGCCAATGTATATGGAATTCACAGAATGTTATAACAAATAGAAATATCCTCCAAAACTAATGACTGTCTACCACATTCATTCCTCATCTATTCATTCAGATAATTGGGTTCCTTTTCCAATTCAATCTACATTCAGGGTTGATAAATAATTGGAATTACAGGGAAACAAATTTCAGGTATTTAAATATTCAATGTTGGCATTTGAACCCTTGAAAATTAAATTTTAAGAGGCTTCTCTTAGCTGCCAATGTATTCCTTAACCACAATAAAAACAAAGAAGTGGAGTCACTCTCATAAAAAAACAAAGAAGTGGAATCACTTGACCAAGAGCAAAAGCACAGAGAGGACTACAGTGTACATCTTGAGATAGAGATCGTATTTCTCAATAACAATTAACATGAGGTTCAAAACTGAGATTAAGGCCCAAATTTCAAGATAAAAAAACAAGGTAGCTACATGTCAAAAACTCGAACTTATTCAAATTGAGTTGACCATTTGTTCCAATAATGGATCCTGGGGCATGAGATTTTATTGCTCTCTTTAGGATATTAAATGCCCCCAACTTGGAAATTCCAAGATGTAATTGGCTTATTTCAAGTATACCCCCCCTGATACAACTAAGTCTCATAAAGCATTTTGAAATTTTCTAAGTTGCATACTAGTAGAAGTTCTGAGAAAAATAGAACTTCCAGACTAATTGGCCTTCTATAGTCACTTGGTATCGGTTTAGTTTTGATTCAAAATTAAAGGGAACAATTTTGAGTAAGAATTTGGAGGAAAATGCAGTTGTTCAGTTATATATGGTGAGAAATAGTAGTTCTCAGTTGGCAGTCAAACTAAAAAGAAAGATATTATAAAACAAACCAGAGTCTCAGGGGTGTTTATTGAGGCTTTTAAAACTCAGATAATTATTTTATTGATTGTCAATGGTGGGAGGACACATGGAAAAATGGTCGCATGTGGCATAATTTTGGTTGGTGAGAAGTGAGGGAACCTTAACTGCAGTGAGAAGCCACCTAGCTGCGTTGAAAAATCACAAAGGCCCTTGTGTTGCCTTTGAGAGCTTAAGCATGGTGAGAACTTGAGCTTCTCAGTAAACTGTGTTGAAAGGTTGGGGAAATGGATTAACCATGGTGAAAAAAGTTTAAGCTTCAAAAATAAAGGACTTTGGACCAAACCCAAAACTTAACCTCTCCCTATCCTCCGCTTCAGCCACAATCAAGGTCCTGTTGGCCAGCCATGCAGCCTTGTGTATGTTCAAGCGTACACAAACTGAAAGCACCACCCCCAAGTCTCTCTCTTTCCTGAGTTCCCAAAGGTCTAAGGGACATTCTCACTTATATAGCCATGGAGAGTTGTATCTAGGCAACATGGGACTAAAATACTATGGTAATTCTGAAACACCCTTATGAAAGTAACATTCAAAAGATTAACACAAATGTGAGAGAGAGAGAGATGTGTAATTGCCATTATACTATTGTAGACTCATATGGGCCATTACAGGTAAATAGAACCACAAGATTTCAGTTTCATGTAATTCTCTTTTAGTAGTTTTGTCAGTATCATAACTAATGGTCCTACTCGGTTTTTCAAACAACAGCCTCTCTTGGCACAAAAAATTTAGGTGATACAGGCACAATCTCAGAAACGGACATGCAAAGATTGAAAATATGGACTATGGACTGCAGCATAGAAAATATAAAGGAAAACAGCGTTGAAGAATAAACAATAACTGAAATAACCTCAATAACTGTTGAACTGATGCAGCAAGGAGACTCGTGTGAGAAACAAAGTTTTGCATCATTATGCATTGAACCAATTATCTTCCAGAAATTTAGAGCTAAATCGGCAGATTGGTAATATCAATAAGAAATCAGGCATGCAGAAACTAAGAGGACAGTGACTTATAATACGGATCTAAAAGCTTCAGAAATAAAACTAGAGACCCATAAGAATCATGGGAACCTTGATTGATGCCAGATTAACCCTGAAACTAAGGCTTGTTCTTGCAGATCTCCCTAGATAGTATATTGTGCTAGTAAAAAATCACTGTAAATTTCCAAAATGAAAATAACAAAAGTAACTTAATATAAGAAGATACCAGAGATCACACTGTACTGCCCACACTTTATCTAGTGGATAAGTTATCAAAGTAGATATCTAAAACAAGAAACCTTAGTGACACATAACTTTAGGTTCCACCAAACTCAAATGAACTAGCTTATCTTCATCTCCAACACCACTGCTTGCCATTACTACTTTATCCATAACCATACCGTAAACCTTGGTGACATGGTAGCTATCAACTCTGAAAGCTTTAAGTAAATATGTGTATGGATGCAGGTGAACTTTTTCTCTTTAAACTATTAAAAAAATAATTTCCCAAGTGATAACCTCAGTAATTTCTTTTAAATGAAAAAGGCCAATCATGCTCTGATATTGTCCACAACGGTGAAAAGAGGAACGAGAAATATACTCGGATGCTTGTTTTGCAATAGCATTAGGTCATACATAGTTAAAGGTGCTTCGTAAGATGCATGCTGTGGTTCCAGAATAATGAAAAACTGGATCTTGATGATGAGTGACATCTGACCAAAGAATACCATCGTCACACCTAAAATAAACCATTGTATCCATAGAAAAACTATTGTCACTCCAACTTGAACACAAACACTTGTTTTGCAAGCATACCCTATCAAGGACATGTGGATCAAACTCCAGAATC